GACGTCAAACTGATCACACCACCACTAGATCCTGATAAAAAAATAAGGCGTGTCGAAACTGTAAATGCAGGAAAAAGTATGTAATGTCTTATGGTGACTTACCCTTTTTCTTAGATGTCATTAATTCTCTATTCGTGCAGTCCAACTTATTGTCGATGCCTGGGTACTGTTATTACTAATTATTTTTGAGTAAAAATTGTACTGACCAGTTTGTTGTTATATTCATGGCAATCTCAAAGTAACAGAGAATCGCATCTTGTATGTATTGCTAAATAATGGTGAGGTAAAACTTACGTAAGGTCATTCGATGTTTACTTCAGTTTCTAGTAGTTGCGTTTTTATTATTTTGAAGCGCAGAAACCTAGTGTTTTTGCAGCTAGGTAACTACGCTTACTCTCATATTGCTATGTGATTATATAGTTATACATGTTATAACGGTTAAAAAAATAATTTCCGTATTCGTGACGTGGTCGTTAGACGACTTTAAACCTTATAAATATTTAATGATTAAAATACGCTGTCATGCTATTCTGGGTAGGATAAAAATAAGTCGGAGAATAGTCAGGAGTGGTTAAAGCAATATTTAATATCAGCACATGAAGCTATTGGCGTTTGATCTAAGTTGTTTCAGTAATTTCGAATCACGTTACAGTCCTCAGAGTAATTGTACTTTATTGTTCAAGACTTCAAGTGGCACGGCTGACTGTCGAGCAAGGTGTTGCAAATGGGCTATATCATTATTCTGAATCTTCAGCTTAGTATCATGTGTAGGTTTTCGGAACCACTGATACCATTATTTTGACTAATTTGCTTCTTATTCCAGTAAAGTCCTTCCACTATATTCATGTAGTTTGGCAAACTAAACCAAAAAAAGTTTGTGCCAATTCCGATTTTATATAACATAGGCTGCTTGGTCAGTCATCCTTATATATATACAAAGCGATACTTAAAATGGCATGGTTAAATACAGCATATGGTTACTAGCACATAAATGGTAAACATAAGTGGTCGATCACTTGTTCTTTGACATAATACTACCACTCGTGTAATTTTAATTCGCTCCTTATAAATAACCGGTGATTTGATTTTATTCCGAAGTACCAGTATAATATTTTGCATAATGTACCGTGTTAAATCACCATTGATGCATCAGGACTAAAAGAAGAAACTTGCTAAGTCATAGTACTTCTGACTACACAGAAAAATATAGACTCCACACTTACCCGCTCAAGAGCGAGCAACCTTAAAAAATAGGTGAATAGAAAGGTCACCATCATAGTACCAACAGACAAAGGTAGTTATGGACATCAAGAAGGCCAGTGACCTACTCAAAGACAAGTCTATAACAACCGTTAGTGAGAAATCCTATTAAAAAATTAGACAGCTGAATCGACAGAACTCTAAGCGAACTCGTCAAAGACAAACTACGAAACAAGATCAGTGACGAAAAAAATCCACTACAACAGATCAAAGATAGGCAAATTAAATACTTCATTACAAAGTATTGTTACGGCTAGACAGTAACATACATTTTGTGCAAAGAACTCTACATGATAATAAAAGACAGAATCTTGTGATCATTCTATGGATTCCTCAACTTAGTTCCTTGACTGCACAAGTTTCTCATAACTCACCAATCCGTGCTTTACAACATATCTCTTATTCAACAAACATACGAGTGAAACTAATAGGATCCCCTATTTCACAAATAATTGCAGATAGCGTGATGCAAAGACTACAAAGTACATTTCTACTAGCAATCGAACTGAAGATTTAAATACGTAGATGACATTCGTTAGTTCGGAAATGCTTAGGATTTTATCAACAACATCTTCAATAATATCAAATTTACAAGTCAAAAAGAAGAATAAGTTAAAACTTTCCTTGAACGTTTGACTCAACAGAAATACAGTCAGTCAGCTACAACGTAGGACAAGGCACATTTATGCATCGGTAAAAGTTGCCATACCTCATTAACACAACAAGATCAACACCGGATTCATAAAAGTAGTTATTTCAGAGGTGGTAATATATAGGAGAAAGATTGCAATAAGGATATAGTGCAGGAAGAAAGAATTAGTTCGTAGAAAGAAAGATATGAAGCGATTTTAAACTCTTAGTTTAAGGGAAGACAGAAAGTGTATACATCTACACCATTGTGATTGATTCTGAGCCATGTCACCCACAGTCTCCAACCATTGGTTACGAAAGTCACGCGGACCCCAACCAAGTAGTTTGCATCTACCAACATGGCTCAGACTAGAAGTTGGTGACTTCAAGCACTGGTGCCACGTTTTGGTTTGGCCGCTCCCAACATTCTTCCAACCATCTCCAACACCGGTTAGCATTGCACGTCGTGGTAATCGGTCTTCAGGCATACGTAACACGTGACCCAACCATCTCAGTCGATGAAGATTCACAACCTCACCAACTGACTTACCATCATTCCCTAATACCTTATGTCTAACCTCACTGTTACTAACCCGGTGATCCCAGCAGACGCCAGCAATGTTTCTGGGGCATCTGTGGTCAAATACTAGTAGTTTACGAGTGTCTTCTACTCTCAATGGCCATGTTTCGCTGCCGTAAATTAAAACAGGACGGACTGCCGCGTAGTATACTCGTCCTTTGTTGATAGACGGATATCTCGCCTTCGCCATAGATGACGTAAGTTGGCAAAAGCCAAACGAGCTTTTCGAATCCGTGCTGAGATTTCGTCAGACACCAACCCATTAGGGCTGATCAGACTTCCAAGATAAGTGAAGTTGTCAACGCGTTCGAATAATTCACTCCCCATCCGTAGTTCAGGTGTTGACGCAGACCAGTCCTGAAGTAGCAGGTTGCATTTAAAAGGAGAGAAGCGCATTCCAAACATTCTGGCATTGTTGCTTAGTGCTACCAGAAGACTGCATTTTATCAGCGTCTTCACCAAACAGGACTATGTCATCCGCGTATTCTAAGTTGATAAGTGGACCTCCTGGAAGGAGATCAATACCCGAGAATTCAATCGACGAGAATGTTATTTCCGTCAGAAGGTCTATGATGAAGTTAAACAAAAATGGAAACAGAAATACAGGCATTTGGAGACACAAGTGTACGGAAAACCAAGCCACACGTATAAAATACTAATCTACAACAGCACCCAAAAGCAGTTGTGACTGGACGCTATTCAGTTAAGTGGAAACTCACTTAAGTGCTCTCATTACACGAAGAATTGGAACTCATCTTCAGTTCATCTCCCTCAAGAATAGCTACCATAGCCTGACATCTAAAAACGTCTGACATACAATTAGAATACCAACCCTAGAAAACGAAAACAGATTTTCTTACCACATTTAAGAAATATCGCAGGAACCTGTACAATGATCCTAAGGCCCTATGGAATTACATTCGCTCCAAAACCGATACAACCACTTCATCGCATTGCATCTAAAATACAAATCTAACCTATACAAAGTAGATTGCATCAACTGCTATATTAGAACAAGTGGGTTCTCCTTTTACTTACGTATAATCGAATCGGGTAAAACCTGATAGTGCCAGGTAAATTGTGGTTAGTTGGCAGCCAACAGCCATATCGATCTAAATCTATGAACACATATGGGGAATGTTAAACAATTGCGAGGCCAGAGGGTCAACCGACGAAGTTATCGCAAATACAAGGACGAATGGATACGACAAACATAAACTACGGAAAACAAACCCATCTAGACGAACTGATAAAATACTTTGGGAGTAACTAGGAAGCTCACTCCCACACAAAGCATGTATTGATAAAATACTTCAATGAGATTTCTTGGACTTGATTCCCGAGTATTTCCTGTTGGCGTTTTTTGTTTCGTAGTTTTATAGGTGATTCATTTCTGGCTCACAGAGCAAATCCTCAGGAAATTACTGTTGGACCTCCATACATCCCACCACCATTAAATTTAGTTTTATACTCTATTAAATGTCGAATATGGAGCATCACCACCTAGCCAAGGATGCAAGTTTGCATACCTCATATTATTATTGACGAAGCAATTAAAACCTTGTCACACTAGGACAGTGTAGTGAGCTCAACTTCTCAAGCTGAATTCGTGAATAAGCCCACTTAGATAGCTTCCGAACAAATTTGCTAACCACCATTTCCTGCTATCTTACCAGATCATCAGTGCACATCTTCAGAAGTTTATCTGGAATGCAGCCCTTCATATACTGTTATCTAATCGGACAACTGTTTTCGGAATTGTACCAGTAAATATTTATTTGACTACAACTTTTTATCCTATTCATATATGAACAGCTTCATTTATCGTAACACTATCTTGTTTACCCGCCAGCCACTCCACACGAGGACCGTGTAAATGGACGTTGATAACACACTATTTCCGACAATATGGAGACAAAATAGTTGAGGTGATAATAGCTGAGCGATTCAGTCTTTCTGTAGATGCTGCCAGTTACCAAACAACATGAACCCATAGATGATTAGCGCGCTGGGCTTAATGTAACTACGTCCAGCAAGCGGTGCAGTCCAGTGCACATGACAGCAAATCCCTATATTTTTAGGAGTGGGGTGTTCCACATGTTTACTGACCTCATTCTCTTCTTAGTCTTTGAATATCGCGACTGTTTAATTCAATAGGCTGTGAGATGGAAATAAACTCACCCATTTGAAAAGAATACTTCAGATTTTAAACTTGGCTGGTGTAAGCTACCACACCTAAGGGCTTATTTCTCGGTCGACTTCGTCATCATTTTAGTTAATTCCAGGTATGACCATCATTCCTCTGTCAGAGAATATTATACCGCAGTGAATTTTATGGAAACAGTTCGATAAAACTAGATACTAATTCTTCGTAAGTCAAGCTAAGACAGTGACCTAAAAAATCATTTCGTCAGGTGGAATGTTGTTTAGTATTTTCATGAAACACTGATTCAAAGACTATTGTGACAGTTAAGAAATCCATAGTTTTTAAATCAACATATTCATTAACTTCGAATTTATTACATGAATTTTAGGCTTCTTCCAATAATAAATCATCTTTGACGTGTTCTAAATTCTCAGCGCAGCCAGTTTTTGACATGACGAAATCGTCTTCTACTCGCATACCGATGCCCAGAAAGTCTCTCGAAACGCCCAGTTTCGCCAACTCATCTCTGAAGTAAATACCTGGTTCTAAAGGGAACACAACGCCTGCTTCGAAACGTTTTGTACTAGGTATCGTAGGAGTATCATGAATGTCTAAACCAAGATAATGTCCGACATGATGTGGACATATCTTTTGTGCAACCTGAATTTTAAAAATAAAATTTTTGCGTAAGGTCGGTTCAAAATCGTAATATGTATCATGGTAACATATTTCGAGAAAAAGCAGAATAGTTTGCGTTAAAACTGATCTAGCAGTTCGGCTAAAGCATACAAGTTTTGAAATCTATACTTCAAGTCCAAATCGTGTTTGTTATAAAGTGGCAACCGTGAAGAAAGTGCTTCTGTGCAGTGCCTAGTAACAAAAAATATCTGGTGACAAAATAGACAAGATATTTTCCGGCGAATTGGTGAATCTGAGTTCTAGGTTGTCGCCACTGAATTAAATCACGTTTTTCGGCAATTTGGATTTCATGCTAAGGTGAGGTCCTAAGCCCCACGATTGAGAAACTCTCAATTTGGCTAATTTCATATGATCATACAAGCCCTTTCATAAAAACGTTTACTTGCGATTGTTATTAATAATGTCTTGCGTTAGATGAATTACATATTTCGAAACCTTTGGCAAGAATAATAATAGAAATGAACAGTCATGTTCAGCATATTAAGTAAGTCTTTAAACGCGTTTCGTACTTGCAGATCTACGTACTCGACCTCAAGTCACACTATGTGAGGACCAGTAATACTAACCAGCTGCCCGAGAGAGGTGAAGTGGGGTCAATCAGCTGCAACATAGGACCAGGCACATATATGCATCGGTCCAACTCGCCACACCTCATTAGCACAAAATGAACACCAAATTCATAGAAATAGTCACTTCAATGGTAGTAATATATAAAAGAAAGATTGTGTGTAAGAATATAAAATTGGAAGAATTAGTTCACAGAAAGAAAGGTATAAAGCAAAGCGTGTATACGCCGACGCCACTGTGATCGATTCTAAGCCATGTTACCCATAGTCTCCAACCATTGGTTGCGATAGTCACTTGGACCTCAAGCAAATAGTCTGCATCTACCAACATGGCTCAGGGTGAAGTGGGTTGTGAACTATCAATTGGAAGTTGTTTTTATATCGTATAACCACCACTTCACTTACAAAGGATATTCGAAGTGAACGAAGTATGTACATTTGAGAGATCACTTATTACAGGTACATAATGGATTTGGCGCTTAAATGCGTATCTATATACCTAATATTATGGAAGTTTGTTGTTCATATTTGAAAGGATTTACGCTCGAAACTACATGCGAGCCAATAATTGTTGTTAATCAATGTAATTGGAAATCAAATACTTTTATCAGTCTTTATGAAAATGCGCATCAAATGAACTTGCAAATTCTTTGCAGCATATATATCTGGTGCCCCTCGTACCAATATTTATGTGTTCAAATAAATAAATAACTCATTTCACTTTACTATGATGTAGCGACTGTAAGAACAGTAAAATTTTGATTTAAACTTCTACTTATTTTTGTTCAATTTAAATCAAACCACAATCATTAATAGATTGTTGTGTAGTAGATCATTTTAAGATCAGCAGCAGATGATATGTGTATATGAAGACAATAATGTCCATAGCAAGAGGAAACTTAGATCAAGTTCAAGGTGCTGGAACAATCGTATGTCAGTTAAGTATAAGATCATGGAAATACCGATAATAATACTAATGGTAATATGTAACTATGAAGGAATTTGATTAGGAGGTAAGTATCTGTTAAAAAAAATTAACTTACATGCAACTTGTCCTGGTCTGGGATAATCCCCTCACTTATTAAGTGTCGTCCTATTTCAGACAGCATATGATGATATACATCTTGCAGACTTTGTTCAGGAGAGGCTAAAGATGCACATGAGTTCTGTACATCAACTAATATTTCATGTATAACTTTTTGGGGTGCCGAAAAGTTTCCTAATGAATAAACAGATTTTAATATGTAATTACATTGTTTTGGATTTGACCTAACTGAAACATTCACCAACTATAATGGAGTAAGTAGGTACTAATGCACGTTTTACTGAAAGTGAAACTTAATATAAGCCATCGGTTAAAAAGTTATTTAGTGGTAGGAATAAGGCGTCTTACCTGTCTAGCCCTATATCTCAAATATCATAAGTGGAATGAGATTGGATAATTCATCAAACTGACACAAGATCACAGATACTTCTTTAAAATGAGAAATCGAAATAACCTGGTACGACCAGTGTCTTACAAAGCTTTGATTATTTGTATGAACATATCCAGGAGAATGAGTAAGGAGTATGGTTATGCTGCATCATAAAAACTATAGAAGTTGAGAAAGCGATAAATATTGACGGTATTGACCATAGAATTAGAAGGCGTTTAGTAGACAAATAAATTATTAACATTCATTCACTGAATATCAATTATTAATATCACAGTTCCACATACACACACATCTATTTTCACCTTGTGTACTTTTCACATTTATTTGTACGGACTAATGATTCTGTTGTACTTGAATACCTGTTTATTTCGGATTCCAAATATAATACATTCATTTCGGGAATTCCTATTTAGCATGATGACTCGAATATTTGTGTGTGTGGGGGCTGTGATACTGATCGGGTGCCCAGACCGAAGCAGGTAGTTTTCTTAGGGGGCCACACCCCGAGCCTTTGACCTGAAGGTCTGATCCACAAGGCCGTGGAGCACCGTAAGGAGATGCAGTCCCATGGTAGCCGGTGGCCAACGATTGGTTCATACGTCATTTGTTCCCGCAGGATACTGCGGCCTATGTGCACCATTGGTTTGGGATCCGGTTAAAGCGCCGGATATTCGCCTTTCATCCTCTCATTTTCGTAAACAACACCCCTGCAACGAGAAGGCAGTGAGTAGGACTTCCCTAGCAGAGGCTATATACGCGTGGCCGTGTGAGAGTGTTTCGAGAGGGAGGGCGGGCCCATCCCATTCTCGGCCATACCAGGGCATTTGGAGGCGCATATATACTTGGTGCCCTCTTGTACCAATATTTATGTGTCGAAATAAATAATAAATAAAAATGATTCGAATACCTCTAATTATCATAATTATCCTATTTACCAAAGTTAACACTTGAATATCATTGGACAGGCATTTAATGTAGATTTGATTTGGTTTCTAAACGTCACATGCTTTTCGATAATCTTGATTTCGGTTATTACTCTGAAGAAGTCTAGACAGATTTTTTGACAAAACGTCGTAGTATTTCAAATTTCTAATATAATTTAAACAATTTGTTTTTGAACTTGCCGTACTGACCTTACAGGCTTTTAATACTTGTAAGCTAGGAATTACCATTTGGTATAAATGACTAAGATATTTTGAGGCTACATGTTGTGAACGAGGCTATCAATGGCATGACAATTCGTGAGATCCAGTTAGTTGGAAAAACCTAATTAAATCTGTCTAGCTTTAATTTTTTTAATTTGCAAGCTTCATAATTTTCAAGTGTTAAAATTAAGTAAGCAAAAACACTTCAACATACCGTTTACTGGCCAAGTTCGAGTAATATCGGACGTATACCCGTTAAAGCGACATCCAGCATCCACCAAAACCAATTCCCCATTCTCAATCCTCATATTGTTTTTCATGTAATGAATGACGTTTGTTCTACTCCCTCCAGCAACAACAGGAGGATACCCGACAGAACAGCCTCGGCTGCGCATTTGGTATTCTATATGACCTTGTAAAGCAGTTTCCGTAATTCCTGGTTGTGTAATTTGCATAGCCGACTTAAGAGACTCGATCGCTGCAATAACCGCGGTTTTAATCTGTCTTATTTCATAATTTGATTTTATAAGGCGAATTCTGTCGATTATATAGTCTGGATTTTCAAAACTAATACTTTTGTCGCCAATTTGCCGGGAGAATTCTAAAATCTTTCTTAAAACGAACTTATTTAAGGGGCGCTCAACAAAATTTTTGGATGATAATGGACTATACCAAACACATATGGATTGTGCAAATAAAGCTTGATGGTTCAAAAAGTTACTAAATTCATTCAAAGGATGGGAATTACCAACCCCAGTTGCCAAAGAAGCTTCTGATAGCGTCAAAGATGGACCATCCCAGATTTCGGCATGTTTGTTTTGAGTCTCCACGAATAGATGAGTCGACCAATTGGAGCCACTTTGATCGCGATGCTCTTCTGTTTTATCTGTGCAAAACAAAGAACTCCATTTGGTTCACTTAACCCAGTGAAGTAGAAGAAGTTGGAATCTTGGTGAAAAGGGTATGGAACATGGTAAGCCATATACTGTATTTCTGAGGCTGGTATTATAACTATGTGATAGGAAGGCTTATTTACTAGCTGTTCAGTGCAAATGTTCAGTTTGTTGACAAAGATTTGACGGCGATTCTTCAATTCTACGAGAGGAACAGAAGAATTATTGTTTGGATAGGATGGCGAAGTGCATAACCATCGAACTGACGTTAAGGCTGAAGACCATATGTCAGGAAGTTTTTTTAAAGCAGAAATCATATATCACGGGTTTGTTGGAAATCCGTACTGGCAGATCGGTTTTAAAAAAATGCACAAAGCGAAAACGAGCTACAGCTAAATAATATACTTTTTAGCTGTTCCTTTTATACAAAAGCTTGTAGTTTTCAAGAGACGAATAAGTGGTAGTAGTTACCCCTCGTATTTTTCTGAGAAAAAAATAGCGATATCTAAAACCAAAGGTGAACAAAGTAACCCAATTAAGATATTTAATCAAATATGTGTACTCAATACCAAGTAGTTTATTTAACCAAAAAAAGTTGGGTACTTACGGGTCAATAGATACTCAAGCAAAATTTGGCTTCAAATGAAACCTTCTACAAATACCATGATACTTGAACTTGGAAGTACAAATATGCGGTCAATATATATATATATATATATATATATATATATATATATATATATATATATATATATATATATATATCAAGACGGTACCGCCCAGATTCGAATCCAAGCAGACAATTTATTATAAGTAATGGGATGTTCTAGTTAGCTTAGGAACCTTTATCTTTGATGATGACAACAGCGGAAATGACATCGCTTCACGATCTTTCCAGTTGAAAACATAAATTTACAACTTTCCGTGTTATCGGGAAAATGTGGTCCGGTTTTTGAGCTTGTTTGAGTATATTCACATGCATTTGCTAAAGGCCTTGTTATAGCTGGGATTGGGGAGAGCCTGCTCTATCTGTCGGGTAGGGAAGCCTAACTCTGCCTTCTGGTCGATAGGGTGTAGTCTTCAAAGTCAAGGAGGGTTAAATGCAGATGTCCGGAGTCCCCGGATCTTGAGGGAACCAATAACATATGAACCTATTGTTAGTTACCAGTCATCACGGGATCGCACCTCTGAAGATTTCTTCACGGACTTGTGGATTAGCTCTCTTTTTGGCTTGAGGAGTGGCCTCCAAAGGAAACAACCTGCTTCGAATGAGTTACCTAGGGACAACCCTAGCCCTCACACAAATTTAACGAGTACAAATCGGGAAAACTTTGCTTTCTTCAATCATCACTCCCAGGAATTTTACTCAAGGTTATCCAATAACACTCGTCCTCATTTTACATCGAGTCTCATCCTATTACCCATTGTTCATATTGTGTGCATTCCCCTATTTTCCAGCGCTTATGGAAGCTCGCCTGTTGTTGGGATCATAACCTATCTAAACTATCTCATGTCACTGGCCCATCGGAAGCTAAATGGTTCCGCTGAATACGAAGTCTAAACCAGGCTTTCTGGTAGATGCCGGAGGCCCCTTCAGCCTAATCGACAATCCGTGAAGCTGATGGAATTCTAGTCAGTTAAACCTGCCAATATCTCAGACGATCAACGGGTTCGCCTATCTGGTGATATCAACTAGACCTGTGATCGGCGTCGGCTAATCCATCAAACGAGGCAGAAACCCACAAGGAAATCCGACTCTGGGAACGCCATCAATCTTCATGTTCAAATGACATCGTATACTTCTTCTAAGTATGATGGAAAATCTCAAGTTAGGGAACCGACTGAGTTGTTCTCAAATTTTGTCTAGAAACGTCTAAAAAAGCAGTGTCCCTACATCCTGAAGTGGGTCTATATTCAACCGTATATTTAAAATGGGCTTATGTCTTTTGCCCAACAACCTTCGGGAGATTAGAAATCTTCCGATTGCATTCAGATTATTAGCTTACGCCGCAGATTGTTCAAAACTTGGGAAAGATTGATCCTTAAGGAGCAAGCTGGTCCTCTTCGTTCTTCAAGATGTATTAGTCATATTCCACCCTCTCCAGTCAGATTTTAGAACAACACCATACTTTCGCTGCAAACTGTCAATGTACATCTTTGCACCAGGGCTGCCTGCGATCTGCTGAATAGGAGAACAAGAGTATCCATGAGTCGTTGTTAATATTTCGGAAACTCTTTATACCAATACCTCAGGCATAATCAAGGTACACAAACACATGTTGATAGTTGATCAGGATCTGACACTGACGTCGTATGAGAGATCAATGCACGGGACAGACATCTGTTGGTACTTCAAGATTATTTGGTTGAGGTCTTAAAAGTAATGAAACACAGTGGCTTGAGAAGTTATTAGACATTCCTCTGACCGGAGGCCAGTGAATGTCGTTCCCGAATTTTCTTTGACATCTGATTGAAACTCCCTTAACAAATCGAATCTTTTTTTAATTAGACTGCCTCCTTCATTACTATTTCTATAACTATTTAGTTTCGCTTCCATAGGCCGATTTCCATTCATTTTTCCATTTTTTATCATACTTGCCTCTTTTTCTTTATCTTTTCACGCCCTTATTTGTATTATATGGAATTCTTTTTTTACCAACATTTATGTGTTTAGATAAATAGATGAAATATCAACGACCCTGGGATGCAAGTCAACAATTTTGGAAGCACTGTCTATTCACGGAGCAATAAACAACAAAAAGAAATTAAGTTACGGTGGAATAATGGTGTCAATACGACAAATTCTTTACATACTATTTCATTACTTGTAGTAAAGGAGAGAGGTTAGGACTATGCATTAAGATTTGAGCGATTGGTGAGAATCATGATTACGACATGGTATGGTTTCGTAAACGACTGACATCAGTTATGATGCTAAAATGTTGGGGTTGGGTAGTGGGTGTTAAACTGGAGTCACGTTTCAGTATTACAAATCAGGTATGAGATACTTAACTTGAGCTAATCTCAAATAAAATGCAAGCACGTTTTATCACCATTTTGTTTTCGAATTGAAATAGCTTACGATTAAGATACAGAATCAGAGTGTAGAATGGGAGAATACTATTTAGTAATACAAGCGTACTTGATTATGTGACAAATCGAATAAAGTAAAATGAAAAACCATCCTCATCAGAAGATAGCATTTCGTTTGGTCTGAACCATGTTATTATTGTTTTCATCAATTTGTTGCATAGCATGGACTTCTGTGCTTGAAATCAATAACAATTCTTACAAATTTCAAGCATTTAAAGCACGACGCATGGCAGATAATCTAATTAGCTACTCACAGAATACAAGCCTCCCAGTATTGTGGTGTTTTGCAGTCAGCCCAAAGATATTTCAAGTTCTTGGGACTTTGCAGGAAGAGAGAAAAGGGGAGAAGGACAACTGGTAATACAGCATGTTCATAAAATCTCCTAGCTCTGAAAAGGTAAACTCTGAAACAGCAATCAGTTATAGCACAAGAATAATATCAAAAGAGTCTAAAGACGAGATCCACTAGAAGCTTGGATTTCAAGCAAAAATATTCCATAATCTGTCTTACATCTGCTCAGTCAACCCAAGAATTCCACCGTAATACTTGTATGATTGTAGCAGATAGTGTTTAAAAGGATCCTTTTGACTGTATTTTTTTAACGTAAAAGTGTCATAAAGTGAATTCAAGATAGAAATAATATTTATAAACTTATTTAAGCTTCCCTTAACTTACTGTGACACGCACCAAGCTCGAGATACGTCAGTCTAAATACACAATTCCGAAACGCATTGTAGATTGCCATTACAGGGGATCTGTATGGATGATCGGGGACCTATTCGAGTTGGATGAGAATTGTGTGAGCTCCTAGTCTACGCCAAAGTCAAGCTGACGGGACTCACTATCCAAACAGGACCGACTGTAGCCCTCCAGTATATCAACGTAGCCTGCTACGATTGAACAGTAGTATAACTAACCTCCGTGAAGATTGACCGAATTATAATAATGTTATGGTCAACCCTTATATCTGTAAATGCCCATGTATTTCTGCACATCAGTAATTCTTACGCAATAATTACTTCCTTTGATTCTCCCAATTTGCGGCTTTAGGATTCCGCACTAATAATGCCGTTAGTTTGTTATAATCAAGTACAGAATGTAACACTGTGGATGATGTGTACCAGTAACAATGACTGTTACTAAGCTTAGCTTGAAAATAAGGAAAAACGGTATGAACAGTTCTAACTTTGTATCCTGGAAATCCTAAACCAACAGGTGAACCTTAATCACGGAGGAATTACCGATGATTCGTGTAACCCAGTTACGGATTCCATCAATAATCATATTTATGAACATTATTTCAAAGGTTTGGCTGGTATCGTATTCGGACCCTGGTTCGAGTAGTGTGAAGATTTGTTCAGGGTTGACTGCAATACATTTGATGGCTCCACGAAGATCAGAATGTATTGAACGAAAACACAAGTGGGCGCAACAAGGTGTATTTGAACACAACATTACAGAAAATCTT